CTGCTTACCTGCCCCTGCACCTGCACCCTGTGTCTATACCTGCCTGTACTGCCCTGTATATACCTGCACAACCTGCCCTGTATCTACTCCTGCCTGTACCCCTGCCTCAGCATCTACCTGCCTATACCTGCCTGTACTGCTCTGTGTCTATACCTGCCCTGTACCTGCCTGTATCTATGCCTGTGCCTGTATCTCCCCGTGCCTGTGTCCTATACCCTGCACAGCATATCTATACCTGCCCTGTACCGCCCTCTGTCTATACCTGCCCCTGTACCTGCTCTGTGTCTATACCTGCCCTGTACCTGCCCTGTGTCTGTACACTGCCCTGTGCCTGCCTGTGTCTGCTCCTGCCTGTGCCTGCCTGTACCTGTCCTGTACCTGCCCTGAGACCTGTATCCTGTACCTGCTGCCTGCATGCCTGCCCCTGTGCCTGTGCAGCCATGCCTGCCCTGAACCTGTCCTGCTTACCTATAACTGCCCCTGTGCCTGCCCCTACTCTGCCTGTGCCTGTGCCTATACCCCTGTACACTGCCCTGAACCTGTCCTGTGCCCTCACTGCCCTGTATACCTGCCTGTGCCTGTACCTGCTCCCCTTTGTACTTACCATACCCCTGAACCTGTCCTGTACTTATAACTGCCTATACACCTGTGCCACTATACCTGTACATACCTGCCCTGAATTATATCCTGCCTATAACTGCCTCTCACCTGCCCTGTGCCTGTGCCTACTCTCACCCTGTCCCCTGCAACTGTATCTGTCCTGTAACTGTACCTATACTTGTAACTGTACCTGTAACTGTCATGTACCTGTACGCCTATATACCTGTACCTGCATCTGTATGTGTACCTTTGTCTGTACCTGTGGTGTTCCTATACTGTACCGGTACCTGTATATCTACGTATATATCTACATTATTACCATGTATAAAAATGTATAACTTGTATATGTAATGACACCAGCAAATATGCAATACATACTGACAAAGGAACTGTATGCATCTATATATATAAATTACAATACCTACATAATGAAATACAGTGTAAGAGTGTATCACTGTAACAGCGCTGAAATAACTTGTAAATACGGCAATAACTACCATGACTTGAGAGTAACAAGAGGCAGCCCCCATCTAAGGGAGAATTGTGCTGGTTGTCAGTGGAGAGGAAATACTGGCGAGCGACTCACTACTACATTACAGAAGCTGACACAAGAGGGAACAACGTACGACCCTTTGTGGAGATTACCGGAGTTTAGTTTTGACGACGTGTGGTGCCTTATTACAATGTGGAGTAGAGTGTAGGAGGTGTGTGTGCAGTAGATGAGGTGGAGCGTCCCCCACAGTCCCCTTGCGTCCCCCTACCTCCTGCAGCACCTCCCCGGGGTGTCCTGGCCACAAGGGATGGGCACCCCAGGGCGGGGAGGGGAGCGGTAGGAGTCTCGTGTTTCCCCAAGACGTGAGGACTGACCCAGCCTACAAGGTTCTCACGGTCGCTGTAGTTATGTTGTGACAAACTCGTTGTCTTGATATAACCAACCTGGTGCTGGCGGAGCTGACGTTAGTGCTGACACTTAAGCTTGTTACTACCTGTGGTGATGGTGGTGGTTGTGGTGCTGCTGACGTTGGTGCTGATTCTACTGACACTGTTAAGCATGTAATTGCCTGTGGTGATGGTGGTGGTTATGGTACTGCTGACGTTGGTGCTGATTCTACTGACACTGTTAAGTATGTAATTACCTGTGGTGATGGTGGTGGTTGTGGTGCTGCTGACGTTACTGCTGATTCTACTGACACTGTTAAGCATGTAATTACCTGTGGTGATGGTGGTGGTTGTGGTGCTGCTGACGTTACTGCTGATTCTACTGACACTGTTAAGCATGTAATTGCCTGTGGTGATGGTGGTGCTGACACAGTCCCTCTTGTTGTTATGCTTCCTACACACTCTGTCAGCGTGTCAGAGGTTTATATTATTGTTGTATAAAAGGGATAACCACCTTAATGCTGTCACCACACAGGTCGATAACCACCTTAATGCTGTCACCACACAGGTCGATAACCACCTTAATACTCTCACCACACAGGTCGATAACCACCTTAATACTCTCACCACACAGGTCGATAACCACCTTAATACTGTCACCACACAGGTCGATAACCACCCACTCACCACAGGTCGATAACCACCTTAATACTCTCACCACACAGGTCGATAACCACCTTAATGCTGTCACCACACAGGTCGATAACCACCTTAATACTCTCACCACACAGGTCGATAACCACCTTAATACTCTCACCACACAGGTCGATAACCACCTTAATGCTGTCACCACACAGGTCGATAACCACCTTAATACTCTCACCACACAGGTCGATAACCACCTTAATGCTGTCACCACACAGGTCGATAACCACCTTAATACTCTCACCACACAGGTCGATAACCACCTTAATACCTCACCAGTTACAGGTCGATAACCACCTTACTGTCACCAGGTCGATAACCACCTTAATACTCTCACCACACAGGTCGATAACCACCTTTAATACTGTCACCACACAGGTCGATAACCACCTTAATACTCTCACCACACAGGTCGATAACCACCTTAATACTGTCACCACACAGGTCGATAACCACCTTAATGCTCCCACACAGGTCGATAACCACCCATACTGTCACCACACAGGTCGATAACCAATTTTAATACTCTCACCACACAGGTCGATAACCACCTTAACTGTCACCACAGGTCGATAACCACCTTATCACCACGGGCCGATAACCACCTTAATACTGTCACCACACAGGTCGATAACCACCTTTAATACTGCAGGTCGATAACTAATGCTGTCACCACAGGTCGATAACCACCTTAGCCCTCTACCACACAGGTCGATAACCACTATTAATACTCACCACACAGGTCGATAACCACCTTAATACTGTCACCACACAGGTCGATACCACCAATTCTCTAAGGTGCTGTCACCACACAGGTCGATAACCACCTTAATACTCTCACCACACCAGGTCGATAACCACCTTAATACTGTCACCATACTCGTCACCACAGGTCGATAACCACCTTAATACTGTATCACCACACAGGTCGATAACCACCTTAATACCGTCACTCACCACACACGTCGATAACCACCTTAATACTCACCACACAGGTCGATAACCACCTTAATACTGCTGATACACAGGTCGATAACCTTAATACTGTCACCACACAGGTCGATAACCAATTAATACTGTCGATAACCACTCTTAATACTCTCACCACACAGGTCGATAACCACCTTAATACTCTCACCACACAGGTCGATAACCACCTTAATACTCTCACCACACAGGTCGATAACCACCTTAATACTGTCACCACACAGGTCGATAACCACCTTAATACTGTCACCACACAGGTCGATAACCACCTTAATACTGTCACCACACAGGTCGATAACCACCTTAATACTGTCACCACACAGGAACTGATATTGTTACATTATATTACGACGTGTTAACAAGTAAACCTTTTAACTGTGTTGTACAGGTTAATATACTCAATAATCTTCAACGGTTCAAGATTAAAAGATGAATTTTATATGGGTTCTGCTCCTCTTGTTACGATTCATTTGTTTGGTTACGTCACGGTAAGGCTGTTCCTGTGTTGTGTTACTGAAGGTTATTGATGCTGTCTACCTGCTGTTCTGGACTTGAGGGTGTCACTGTTGTTGCTGTTATCACCTGCGCTGTGACGATGTAACTGAGGTGAAGGTGCTGCTGCTATAAGGCGCCTATGCTGTTATTCTGGACGTCTTTACTCCCTGCTGTTGTTGTTGTTGTTGTTGTTCCTGGTTTAATGTGTTACTCGTATTATTCTTCCAGTTTATCTTTGTAAATATCACAATAAAGGAGTAAATTTCATCAAGAATTAAAATAAACATTACGGAAACTATAAAGTCATGGATCGCAGAGGACAAACAAATGCACATCACGAAAAGTATAAACATACGAACAATTTTAGACATATATGTAACTAAATAAACATCAGTGTTATGGTAAAAACATTAACCAAAACATCGAAGGAAAAATAAATTGCAAATTTTTAAATATAAAAATATTTTGTCATCTCAGTCACACTTTCGTGAAAATAAGCCAACGTGAAAAACACACCGTATCAATAGTGCGGAGGATTCGATCTCACTTCCCATCAAAACTCGGGATCCCAGATGGGTTGTAGAGCTCACATGATACCCTGAGAGACATTCAATAACTTTTTCCTCCCTCGACAGGCACTTGTTTTCTTTTATTTCGCGATGTTCACGAGTTTCTTTTTTTTCTTTTTGCGCAACATCTACGATTGTTCATATTTTAATTAATTTATTTATATTCACTGTAACTTTCAATCGTTTTCATATGTTTTTATCTACAACATACACTTGTTTATCCTTTCCGAAAAGTTCATTTGATTTTCTCTAACAATGTTTACTCGCTCATAGGTTCCGTAATGTTTATTTGTGTTTTCGTAGCGACATTCACTTGTTTGACTCGAGTGTCTCTTCACAAAAACAGGTTTGGTAACTAAATATGAGACGCGAAACAAGACTTATTAACACTCCTTGACAAGTTGATTTCAACAAACATATAGAAGGTCTGTTTACAGTACGAACGTTAAAAGGGATAAAGTGTTATGTGTAGACCTGGTGTCATCTCAGGGAACGATTTAATTCTTAAGTAAGAGTTTTTAATCTTCTCTGGAGGCTGTATGTTTTATCGTGTTTATGGCTGCAGCAGTCTATGTCTCGTAGTACAGTATCTCATTTGTTTTAAGGATACCACGCGAAGATATTGCACATTTTTTTTGTAACAACGCAGAATAGTATCAAATAGTAACAATACTACTACTACTTATAATATTACTAATATTTTTATTATTATTATTGTTATTATTATTATCCCACTGACATTAAACTTTTTTCTCATTATTACAGATAAGGAAGAGTATCACCAGGACTCTCTCTGAGCACCAACACGTCGCCTCGTCACCACCTTGTTACCGCCGCTTCGCCATCTCGTTACCACCACGTCACCACCTCGTCACCAAAATGCTGCAGTAAGAACGTGAACCTCTCAGATCAACAACAACAACGGAACAAGAACTCCCTGGCAGACCTCGAGGAACACCATTGAATATTCTCATTAGTAACTGTATACAAAAGTCTGGCGACATTTTTCAGAAAGTGGAGAGAAAGTTTGTGAAAATATGACTCCTACGTAACGATACTTTGATGTGATGTATATATAAGATAGTCAAGGAGTGTAAAACTGTCTCAGAAAAGATAGTTGACTGTGAAAGACTCGGGGACTATACAGTCTAGGATTCCTGCCTTCTGGAGCAGGACTTGAGAGACCCAATGTTGTGGTTGGTGTGAGACGACCACCCACCAGCATGGAGCCTCCACCAAGGCCACCGTTACTACAACTGCTGCTGCTCTTCTGCTGCCTGTCGGTCACCCCAATCTCTTCCCTCCACACTGGTGAGTTACCTCGCTGGGTTTTTTTATGAATCACCTGAAGATTAAGCACCCTAGATTATTTTCCCTGATGATTAAACACTTTAACACTAACTTAACCTACCTTCAGCTAACCTGATCTGACCTAACCTAACTTAACATAACATTGCTTAACCTAACCTAACATAAGGCACCAGGTAGCAGTCAGTTGTTTTTATCAGCAGGTGAAATAATCTGGGAGCAGCTGCCAGAAAACAATAAACAGAAGGACCTCCAAAAACAACAACAGTAACAACAACAATAACAACAACAAAAACAACAGTAACAACAACAACAAAAACAAAACAACACCAATAACAATAACAAAAACAACAACGATAACAATAATAAAAATAACAATAAAAAAAACAACAAGGACAATAACAACAACAACAACAGCAGCAATATACAGGAGGGTGCTATCACTGTTCACTGCCACACAGGACAGAGGTTCATACACAAATTAGTTGATAGTATAGTTCATATTCATTAGTGTATATTCTATTAGAGGACCAATCAGTGTGGACAAGTAAGTTTAGGATAGACAGCAAGAATGTCCTCAAGCACTCCTGACTCCATATATTAATTACATAGTTCATGATACAATAAGCCTCGAGTGTTACATTCCAAGTGTATGTTTAAAGGTTTATCACAAAGTTTACATGCTGAGTGTTCCGGTGTGGGAGGGAGGGACTGGTTAAGGAAAGGTCGTCACCAGCAGTGAGATGAAGATCTAAATAAACTCCCTGGCCAGTAGAAGACAACACTGAGGTGAGGGGGAAGGAGACAGGGGTGGGATTGATTTTGATTTTGCCGCTTACAGTGGCTACTTTATTGTGCACCCCACACTCATCCTGTGAGCGGTAGCGCAAAAGGATTACAGAGTACAGTTTACAACGGGTTATAATAATTAACCCCCGTTGTCAGGATATTATGGCACTGAAAGTTACACAGTATTTTAATTACATTATTTGTTTAGTTCTATACATAAAGGGTAACTTATTCACAAATGCGTGAGTACAGGCGTGTGAGGCAGTATGTCTGGCCGCACACTTTGTTATTCACATTTACGTGAGAAGTATTCAAGTACATTGTGTATTTGGTTCTGTACACGAGAACTGATATAGTTACTAAGTGCAAAAAAGTGGATACAATCTTAATATGTCGGCTATCTTGCCATTAGAGATGAAGTGTTGTGCCATTTCACACACAGTGTGCTTGGACCTGTCCCTAAAAGGTTCTATCTTCACACAGCCGAGGACGTTGTGTTCAAGTGTGTGGCTATATGTCTGGCCACACACTTTACATATAGTCTTGTTTACATCTGCTTGAGGAACATACTGCCAAAGGTACTTATATCCTAACCTTAATCTAGCGGTTACAACATCTTGTAATCTAGTGATCTTGTTACTTGCTCCATATACATGTTTCACTTGATACATCTCATCATGGTAAACTATGGATCGACTAGTGCCTGTTTGCACTTGTCTACTTGCGTCAAACTCATCAATAAGTTCTTTCCTAATTACAGTTTTAAGGGTTCTTTTTGACAGACCCAAATTGTATTCAACGCTGTCTTTGTTTGACGCGAGTTTGGCGAGGGCATCAACTCTGTCATGTTCTTTGAGGCCTATGTGAGAGGGGATCCACAACAGTTTGACCCTGACACTCCGGTCAACAAGGTACGCATATTTGTGTCTGGCTTCAGACAAGAGCGTGACAACCTGAGTCGAGGGTGTCAAGGGCAAGTAGTGAGGATAGAGAGTCAGTGATGATGAGACTGTCAGTGACAGTGGTTTCAATGAATTTAATAGCTGTGAGTATGGCAACTAATTCAGTTTGTAGAATGAATGCCCAGTTGTTAATTCTAACTCCTTTCCCAATTATATTACCGTCATGTTGAGTCGCAACAATAGCACTTCCAGCCCTCCCACAGGCGGTGTTAAGAGATCCATCAGTGTAGATGGTCTGTGTGATATTATCATCAGTCTGTAGGGTGTGTATGTGTTCAAGAGCTCTCACTTTGGCAGTGTGTTGTAGATAAATACTTTGTATAATTAATCTTTTAGGCGGATACGTCGGTATTGTGATATCGAAGGGAACTGTCCGCCAGGGTGGCAGGAAGAAATGTTGTGTCTCAACTTTGTACAGGTGGTCTAGTCCAAACATCTTCATATGTGTAACCGTAGTTTGGATCAATTTAGACTCAGCAGTCCCATGGTTCATACATTCTAGCAATTTATAGGAAACAAAGTTATGGATCACCACGCAGAAGCCTCAGGGCTATCATGAGGTTGACTTCAATTATTCTGTCTTTAACACTGGGTATACCTAGTTCTTTCCTCATATTAAGTACTTTAGTGCTCATGGGACATTCTAGGATAATTCTGAGAGCTTTATTTTGCATTTTCTCGAGCTTGTCAACGCCTTTCCCGTGTATACAGGTGTATACTGTAGTGTGAACAATTTGATACCATTGACGATAGGTATTGGTAAAGGCGAGTTGTTCCAGCCGTATGTTGGCAGCCCTGATTGTCAGCCATATGACAACACCTAGTGGAGGGGGGTTATGAGGATACACTTACCAACCTTCCCGACATATCACAGTATATACGTATCGCTTCGAAACTCGTCGATCTCACCCTGCACCGAGACTTTTTGGTGCGAGTGTTCATTGTTTTAACAATTCTAATATTAGCACCATAATGTGGGCTGTACCCCGCTACACTTCTAAGAGGTCTCAGTCTGTCAGTACATTGGCGGGTTAGCTGTTGTATGGCAGGTAAAGTACAAGGGACGGAAACACCAAGATATTTAAAAGAAGAAACATAGTCAATATTGTTGTTACCTATCTTGAACTTGGCGGGGCCGCGTTTGCGGGAGGTGAGGGATGGTGGGGAAGAAGGAAGAGAGAGAGGGGAAGAGAGAAGGGTGCTATTAGGAAGGAAAGGAGGGGGGGAGGGGAGTAGGGGGGGGAAGAAAGGGAGAGCGGGGATGAAGAGAGGGAGAGATGAGGGGGGGAGGGAGAGGGAGGGAGGGAAGACAGGACAAAGGTGAACACAGTTTAAGAACAAGCTGTTAAGGGACCTGTGTGTGTGTTAAGACGTTTATAAGGGAACCACTGATCTATCTACCTAATCTTTCTAGAGTGTCAAGAACCTGTTCGTGGTATATATTTCAACATTATAATCTCCTTCCCGGGTGGCCCATCTGTAAAGCTCAATCCCGTTTTCTGTCAGCGGGAGCCTCAGGGCAAACTCTCCTAAAGGGGCTCTGATAGCGGGAGGGGGAGGCGGCGGGTCGCTAATTACTCGGTTTTGTTGTACCTTAAGTGTTTCTAAGTGATGGAGTGTCTTGATGACAGGGAGGAGATTAAGTGTGTGGCTATACTTGATACATTTGGGGTTTTTTTTGGTGTTCAGTTTTTCTTATTTTGAGGACTTTCTCTCTCATTAATTAAGGAAATCTCTCGATTCCTTAATCCGGTGAATTAAATTTTAAATTTTGCGAATGACAGCAGCTAGTTTATTGTGCACACATCCTGTGAGCTGTAGCGGTAAAAGGATTACAGAGTAGAGGCCACAAAGGGTGTTTATCGGACCCCAGTGATCAGGATATTATGGCAATGAATGTTACAGAGTATTTCCAGTACATTGTTTGTTTAAGTCGGTACATAGAAGTTTGGTTAGGTACCAGATGCCAAGTGTGGATACAGCCTTAGTATATCAGCTATCTTGTCATCAGAGATAAAGTGCTGTGCCATTGTATACACAGTGTGCTTGGATCTGTCTCTATAAGGTTCTGTTTTAACACAGTCTAAGACGTAGTGTTCAAGTGTGTGGCTATATGTCTGGTCACACACTTTACATTTAGTCTTGTTTACATCTGCTTGAGGAACATACTGCCAGAGGTACTTATATTCTAACCTTAGTCTAGCGATTACAACTCAGGTAGTTCCTCCTACAGGTAGTCCCTCCATCAGGTAGTTCCTCCTACAGGTAGTCCCTCCGTCAGGTAGTTTCTCCGTCAGATAGTTCCTCCTACAGGTAGTTCCTCCGTCAGGTAGTTCCTCCTACAGGTAGTCCCTCCATCAGGTAATTCCTCCTACAGGTAGTCCCTCCATCAGGTAGTTCCTCCTGCAGGTAGTCCCTCCATTAGGTAGTTCCTCCTACAGGTAGTAGTTCCTCCGTCAGGTAGTTCCTCCGTCAGATTGTTCCTCCGTCAGGTAGTTCCTCCTACAGGTAGTCCCTCCGTCAGGTAGTTCCTCCTACAGGTAGTTACTCCTACAGGTAGTTCCTCCGTCAGGTAGTTCCTCCATCAGGTAGTTCTTCCATCAGGTAGTTCTTCCATCTGGTGGTTCCTCCCTTAGGTGACTTCTCCCTTAGGTGGTTCCTCCGTCAGGTGGTTCCTCTGTCAGGGGGTTCCCCCTATAGGTAGCTCCTCCCTTAGGTGGTTCCTCCCTAAGGTGGTTCCTCTGTCAGGGGGTTCCTCCTACAGGTAGCTCCTCCCTTAGGTGGTTCCTCCATCAGGTGGTTCCTCCGTCAGGTGGTTCCTCTGTCAGGGGGTTCCTCCTACAGGTAGCTCCTCCCTTAGGTGGTTCCTCCATCAGGTGGTTCCTCCGTCAGGTGGTTCCTGTCAGTTCCTCCTACAGTAGCTCCTCCCTTAGGTGGTTCCTCCCTTAGGTGGTTCCTCTGTCAGGGGGTTCTTCCTACAGGTAGCTCCTCCCTTAGGTGGTTCCTCCGTCCTCCAGGTTCACATAATACAGAAAGATTTAATAACCAGTCTCTACCAAGCCGTCAGAAGCAGTAAAGACACACTGTAACTGCCTCTACCAGCTGTCACTGTAACTGCCTCTACCAGCTGTCACTGTAACTGCCTCTACCAGCTGTCACTGTAACTGCCTCTACCAGCTGTCACTGTAACTGCCTCTACCAGCTGTCACTGTAACTACCTCTACCAGCTGTCACTGTAACTACCTCTATCAGCTGTCACTGTAACTACCTCTACCAGCTGTCACTGTAACTACCTCTACCAGCTGTCACTGTAACTGCCTCTACCAGCTGTCACTGTAACTACCTTTACCAGCTGTCACTGTAACTGCCTCTATCAGCTGTCATTGTAACTGTCTCTACCAGCTGTCACTGTAACTGCCTCTACCAGCTGTCACTGTAACTGCCTCTACCAGCTGTCACTGTAACTGCCTCTACCAGCTGTCACTGTAACTGTCTCTACCAGCTGTCACTGTAACTGTCTCTACCAGCTGTCACTGTAACTGTATCTACCAGCTGTCACTGTAACTGTCTCTACCAGCTGCAATGTTAAGTATTCGCCAGGTCTTTTTATCTCAAGTTCAACAGGGTTTTAAGTCTCTCTCTCTCTCTCTCTGAACGCAAGGGCCCCTTTTGCCATATAGTGGTACTGCAATTATTAGCGTGAAAATTAGCACTCTTCCGGTGAATGAAAGTTTCTTTAATACTGCCCGTGAACTTGTATTAATTCTACTTTAGGCAAAATCAAGGATGTCTGTTTTAACTTTCACCTTTGACCTCCCTCGTGGCGTCCTTCAGGTCATTGTGATGCCGCCCTGGGTATGGAATCTGGTGCCATCCCTGACGAGCACATCTCCGCCTCCTCCTATTTCGACGCCGCCGTTAACGCCATCTATGGAAGGTGAGGCACTCTAACACTGTCAATAACGTTACAGAGTTATATATATATATATATATATATATATATATATATATATATATATATATATATATATATATATATATATATATATATATATATATATATATATACATATACGAGTTTCCTGTATTGCTTTATGTTGGTATGGGAGGTGAGGAGAACAACACTGTCAACAACGTTGATATTAGTTATTTTTTATGACTTATCTAATGGAGGTAAGTACAGATACAGTATATTGTTGGTAGTCACCTGTACTGTGTTGGACCAATAGGCCTCAAGGTACCCGTGTCAGTGACCTATCAGCGTCAAAGAATCGGAATATTGAACCAATTAAAGTCTAGGTACACGCATGGTTTGCCTATCACCGTTCAGCTTAATCAAGGGTAGAACTACGCTTAATGTTCCTGCCACCGTACTGTAATCCACAGCTTAGTAACAGTGTTAAAGTGTACAAGAACTGTTAACTCCCGTCTAAAATAACAAGCAGTAAGGGCATATGTGACATAACATGAACATTCGTTATTTATTATCATTTTAACAGATATACAACATATACTGGTGTAATTACAGCAGGTGTATAGTGTATAGGTGTATAATAACAGCAGGTATACAATACAGTAACAGCAGGTATAATAACGGCAAGTATAATAACAACAGGTATAATAACAGCAGGTATAATAACAGCAGGTATAATAACAGCAGGTATAATAACAGCAGGTATAATAACAGCAGGTATAATAACGGCAGGTATAATAACAACAGGTATAATAACAGCAGGTATAATAACAGCAGGTATAATAACAGCAGGTATAATAACAACAGGTATAATAACAACAGGTATAATAACAGCAGGTATAATAACAGCAGGTATAATAACAGCAAGTATAATAAATGAAGTAGTATATAATAAATGTTATATATAATAACAGCAGGTATAATAACAACAGGTATAATAACAGCAGGTATAATAACAGCAGGTATAATAACAACAGGTATAATAACAACAGGTATAATAACAGCAGGTATAATATGAGCAGGTATAATAACAGCAGGTATAATAACAGCAGGTATAATAACAGCAGGTATAATAACAACAGGTATAATAACAGCAGGTATAATAACAGCAGGTATAATAACAGCAGGTATAATAACAACAGGTATAATAACAGCAGGTATAATAACAGCAGGTATAATATGAGCAGGTATAATAACAGCAGGTATAATAACAGCAGGTATAATAACAGCAGGTATAATAACAACAGGTATAATAACAGCAGGTATAATAACAGCAGGTATAATAACATACAATGTACAAGTATTAATGGTGGTGTTTGTCAGGGCGCGGCTGGAGCTGGGAGGAGGCGCCTGGTGCCCCAGGGAGATGGTCTACCGTGAGGGCACACAGTTCCTGGAGGTCAACCTCGGCGGCCTCCACGTGGTCACCAAGGTGGAGGTCCAGGGAAGGTTCGGCAACGGTCAGGGTAAAGAGTTCGCCAAGCATTACAAGATTCAGATGTGGCGGCCCGGCATGGACCACTGGACCACTTATAGTGATGGTCGTGGTGAGGAGGTGAGTTGTGGACCACTGGTGGCCCGGCATGGACCACTGGACAAATAATCACTAAAGTTTTGATCTATTGGAGTTGTTGCTTGTTAATAGCGACCTTGACCACGTACAGTAGTGCTGTAGTAATGGATCACAACTTATTCACAACAGATGACATCAGGTCATCTCTGACCATCTTCTATTCTGGTCAAGATTAATTAGAAGTGTCTCTCTCTCTCTCTCTCTCTCTCTCTCTCTCTCTCTCTCTCTCTCTCACCTCTCACTTCTCTCCCACAGTTATTAGCGGGCAACAGCAACACCTACTTGGCCCAGACCTCACAGTTAAGTCCGCCCATCATAGCGGCCAGGGTCAGGTTTGTCCCCTACAGCGACCACCCGAGGACTGTCTGTATGAGAGTCGAGCTGTACGGCTGTCGCTATACAGGTCAGTTACTGCTATACACCTCACTTACTGCTGCTATACACCTCACTTAATGCTGCTATACAGGTACAGCTCACTTCCTACTCTACAGGTCACTAAGAGCTATCCAGGTCACTTACTGCTATACAGGTCAATTAATGCTATACAGGTCACTTACTGCTCTACACCTCACTTACTGATATACAGGTCACTTACTGCTATACAGGTCACTTACTGCTATACGGGTCACTTACTGCTATACAGGTCACTTTTTTTTTTAAACGTGGCTTCCAGCCTCCCCCAATAGCCACACCTTCGCAACCATTTTATTACCTTAATATTAAATATCCTAATACATAAGTAGCTATCCTAGCTATGTTGAATTAGTTGAGCCGCAGATCTATGCGGCATTCAGTGACTGTAGCCTCATTGTCAATATCTGCAGCTGTTGTTGGCTTTGGAGCCGAAGCTCTCGTTCCCCTGAGGCAGAGCAAAGCCGACCGAAGGAGAGAGAAGGACAGTTGACATCTCATCCAGGCTGTAACATAACTTCTGGCATGCTGCTTCTGTTCGGAGATCACCTCTGCAAGTCTGGCATAGAAACATCTTGCACTTGGTCCCATCCCACCAGAGGTTGTGAACACTAGAGGAGTGAAGCTGCCTTGATCAACGTTCTGAATTATCTCCCCGTATGCCCTTATCTTGTCGTTCTCGTTCCTCCTGTGTGCAGCATCGAGAGCTAAGTTACGTTGACATGCGGCCATGGGATCAAAGATCCTGATGTCGAAGAAGGCTCGCTGTCCCCGCGTCCAGAATCCTCAAGCACTGGCGTCAACACGGGCTTCGTTGGATGTGTTTGAAGTTCTATGTTGGAAGATCTCGCCGTCCAATGGAAGGAGGGTCGGTTCTACCCTGACATCACGGCAGATTTCCTTGAACATATTTGCTGTGAGATCCCTTACTTCGTCATGCCTCATGCATATGAAGCCCCCTTTCTTGCACACCATGGCGTGATCGGCGTCATAGGAAGAGCCACACACGCATTGGGAGGGCAAACCTTCCACTGGCCTACCGTACCTTAGAGCATTGGCATCTGTAAATTCTTGTTTATTGAGACAGAAACCATTTGCCCTTATCAATAACGTAGTTAACCAGTTCGAGGCGCCCACCTCCTGGGCTCCAGCTACTTTTTTTTTCAAATTCTCTGGTACTTGCAACAACAGTTGCTGCAACTTATCCCATTGCATGTGCTGTCGTTCTGTCGTAATGGACCTTCGAATCTTGTTTACTTCGCTGGTATCCACCTCCCCTGTTGTGTGCGGAGCTATTATGTGGTCCGTAAGGGCTGCCGTGAGCTTAACTGAGTTTTGATGTTCGGTGGCAGCGGATTGGTCAATCCCATACCTCCCAGTCTCGGTGGTAGTGCAAGGAGTGATCTTTCATCTGGTGTTAAGTGAGAGTTTTTCACTAATTTGGGAATGAAATTGACGCTGATAGCATCTTCCAGAGCGTGGAGGAGGGGACCAATATCTGGGGTAGTGCGCATCAGGTAGTTCCAGCGATGCTTGACTCCATGAGTGAATGCCGCAAAAGCCACATGTGGCTCTGTGTTAGCATTCTCAGATAGAGCTTGGATTTCCCTAACCCACTCATTCACCTTTCCGGTTACGTACTCGGTCTTGAAGTCAGTCGTGCCAATTACCGCGCCTAGATGTCTTTGGCCATCCTTTGTTATTTTGACCTCACTTCCACCGAACACCTCCATTGCCCGTTCATAATGTTCTGGCTTCACAATGAGGAAGGACTTGCTGGCGTTTGGGTGGTACCCTATTTGTGGGCCTAGCGATGTTACCAGGTCCCACCACTTTTTGATGTCCTCCACTTTTCCTGCTCCTGTAAGGACATCAGCAGAAACCACTTGTTTGACTCAGTTGTTTCAAATTTTATTGTGTGTTGGAGCACTGATAGGCCTATTGCGTACATTGCCATTGCAACAGGGTCCCCCTGCGTTGTTCCCTCAATTGACTGTATGATGGTATCACCTCTTAGAGCCTTGTTGTTTACTATATAGAGGTCTGATAGATTCCTATAGGAGTTTTCAACACACATTGCATAGCTTGGACACTTGATCTTGATGTTGTGCAGTGCGGCCTTGTGGTTAAGTATGTTGAATGCGTTTGAAGCATCCACCAGGAGAACGGCCTCACAACCACTTACTGCTATACAGGTCACTTAGAGCTATACAGGTCGCTTACTGCTATACAGGTCACTTACTGTTATACAGGTCACTTACTCCTATACAGGTCACTTACTGCTATACAGGTCACTTACTCCTATACAGATCACTTACTGCAATACAGGTCACTTACTGCTATACAGGTCACTTTCTGCTATGCAGGTCACTTACTCCTATACAGGTCACTTACTCCTATACAGTCACTTACTGCAATACAGGTCACTTACTGCTACACAGGTCACTTACTGCTATACAGGTCACTTACTGCTACACAGGTCACTTACTGCTATACAGGTCACTTACTGCTACACAGGTCACTTACTGCTATACAGGTCAGTTTCTGCTATACAGGTCACTTTCATCTACACAGGTCACTTACTCAGATCACTTACAGCACACGTCACTCTACAGGTCCTTACTTACAGGTCACACAGGTCCTTTACAGGTCACTTACTGCTATACAGGTCACTTTCTGCCTATACAGGTCACTTTCTGCTATACAGGTCACTTTCTGCTATACAGGTCACTTACAGCTACACAGGTCACTTACAGCTATACAGGTCACTTACAGCTATACAGGTCTTACTGCTACAGGTCACTTACAGCTACTGGTCACTTACTATACAGATCACTTACTGCTATACAGGTCACTTACTGCTATACAGGTCACTTTCTTATACAGGTCACTTTCTGCTATACAGGTCTTGCTACACAGGTCCTTACTGCTATACAGATCACTTACAGCTACACAGGTCACTTACTGCTATACAGATCCTTACAACACAGTCACTCTCAAACAGTCATATGCTATACAGGTCACTTACAGCTACGGTCAGTTACTGCTATACAGATCACTTACAGCTACACAGGTCACTTACTGCTACACAGGTCACTTACAGCTATACAGGTCAGTTAGGAAGACAGTCAATATGTCCTGGACCTGAGGTAAGAAAGTCTTCACCTTTTAGTACTGAAGTAGTTAACACAGTACTCTCCCCGCCCCCATTAGTAGTGGAGTAGTTAACACAGTACTCTCCCCGCCCCCATTAGTAGGAAGTAGTTAACACAGTACCTCTCCCCGCCCCATTAGTAGTGAAGTAGTTAACACAGTACCTCTCCCCGCCCCCATTAGTAGTGAAGTAGTTAACACAGTAGCCCTCCCCCCATTAGTACTGAAGTAGTTAACACAGTACCTCTCCCCCCCCCATTAGTAGAAGTAGTTAACACAGTAGCCCTCCCCCATTAGTAGTGAGTAGTTAACACAGTACCTCTCCCCATTAGTATGGTGGATTAACACTGTACCTCTCCCCCATTAGTAGTGAAGTAGTTAACACAGTGCCTCCCCCATTAGTACTGAAGTAGTTAACACAGTACCTCTCCGCCCCCATTAGTAGTGAAGTAGTTAACACAGTAGCCCTCCCCCATTAGTAGTGGTAGACAACACAGTACCTCTCCCGCATTAGTAGTGGGTAGTTAACACAGTACCTCTCCCCTCCCCCATTAGTAGTGAAGTAGTTAACACAGTAGCCCTCCCCCCATTGATGCTGAGTAGTTAACACAGTACCTCTCCCCCCATTAGTAGTGAAGTAGTTAACACAGTACCTCTCCCGCCCCATTAGTAGTGGAGTAGTTAACACAGTACCTCTCCGCCCCCCATTAGTACTGGAAGTAGTTAACACAGTACCTCTCCCGCCCCCATTAGTAGTGGAGTAGTTAACACAGTACCTCTCCCCGCCCCCATTAGTACTAGTAGTTAACACAGTACCTCTCCCCCATTAGTACTGAAATAGTTAACACAGTACCTCTCCCCCATTAGTACTGAAGTAGTTAACACAGTACCACTCTCCCCCATTAGTAGTGGAGTAGTTAACACAGTACCCCTCTCCCCATTAGTACTGAAGTAGTTAACACAGTACCTCTCCCCCCATTAGAAGTGAAGTAGTTAACACAGTACTCTCCCCCCATTAGTAGTGGAGTAGTTAACACAGTACCTCCCCCCATTAGTACTGAAGTAGTTAACGCAATCACCTCTCCTCCCCATTAGTACTGAAGTAGTTAACACAGTACCTCTCCCCCCATTAGTACTGAAGTAGTTAACGTACCTCCCCCCCCATTAGTACTAAAGTAGTTAACACAGTACATCTCCCCGCCCCCCATTAGTAGTGAGTAGTTGACACGGTACCTCTCCCCCATTAGTACTGAGTAGTTAACACAGTACCTCTCCCCGCCCCATTAGTACTAAAGTAGTTAACACAGTACATCTGCCCGCCCCCATTAGTAGTGGAGTAGTTAACACAGTACCTCTCCCGCCCCCATTGAAAGTGAAGTAGTTGACACAGTACCTCCCCCCATTAGTAGTGAAGTAGTTAACACAGTACCTATACCTAGTACTGAAGTAGTTAACACAGTACCTTTCCTCCCCCATTAGTAGTGAAGTAGTTAACACAGTACCTCTCCCCCAGTAGTAGTGAAGTAGTTAACATTTTCCCCTCCCCATTAGAAGTGAAGTATTGACACGGTACCTCTCCCGCCCCCATTAGTAGTGAAGTAGTTAACACAGTACCTCTCCCCATTAGTAGTGAAGTAGTTAACACAGTACCTCTCCCCCCATTAGTACTAGTAGTTAACACAGTACCTTTCCCCTCCCCCATTAGTAGTAGTAGTTAACACAGTACCTCTCCCCCAGTAGTAGTGAAGGAGTTAACACAGTACCTTTCCCCCTCCCCATTAGAAGTGATGATTGACACGGTACCTCTCCCCCATTAGTAATTGAGTAGTTAACACAGTACCTATACCCCCATTAGTACTGAAGTAGTTAACACATTACCTTTCCCCTCCCCATTAGTACTGATAGTTAACACAGTACCTTTCCCCTCCCCATTAGTAGTGAAGTAGTTGACACAGTACCTCTCCCCATTAGTACTGAAGTAGTTAACACAGTACCTCCCCGCCCCCATTAGTACTAAAGTAGTTAACACAGTACCTCTCCCCATTAGTAGTGGAGTAGTTAACACAGTACCTCTCCCCCCCCATTAAGAAGTGAAGTAGTTGACACAGTGCCTCTCCCCCATTAGTAGGAAGTAGTTAACGTACCTATACCCCCATTAGTACTGAAGTAGTTAACACAGTACTTCCCTCCCCCATTAGAAGTGAAGTAGTTGACACGGTACCTCTCCCCCATTAGTAGTGATAGTTAACACAGTACCTATACCCCCCATTAGTACTGAAGTAGTTAACACATTCCTCCCCCCATTAGTAATTGAAGTAGTTAACACAGTACCTCTCCCGCCCCCATTAGAAGTGAAGTAGTTGACACAGTACCTCTCCCCCATTAGTAGTGGAAGTAGTTAACACAAGTACCTCTCCCCCATTAGTAGTGAAGTAGTTAACACAGTACCTATACCCCATTAGTACTGGTAGTTAACACAGTACCTTTCCCCTCCCCCCATTAGTAGTGAAGTAGTTAACATAGTACCTCTCCCCTCCCCTTTAGTAGTGAAGTAGTTAACACAGTACCTCCCCCCCATTAGTAGTGATAATTAACACAGTACCTGTCCCCGCCCTCACAGTAGTGGTAGTAAGTTAACACAGTACCTCCCCTTTAGTAGTGAAGTAGTTAACATATCTCTCCCCCGCCCTCCATTAGTAGTGAAGTAGTTAACACAGTACCTCTCCCTCCATTAGTAGTGATAGTTAACACAGTACCTATCCCCCTTTAGTAGTGAAGTAGTTAACACAGTATCTCTCCCGCCCTCATTAGTAGTGAAGTAGTTAACCAGTACCTCTCCCTCCATTAGTAGTGAAGTAGTTAACACAGTACCTATCCCCTTTAGTAGTGAGTAGTTAACACAGTACCTCTCCCGCCTCCATTAGTAAGTGAAGTAGTTAACACAGTACCTCTCCCTCCCTCCATTAGTAGTAGTAGTTAACACAGTACCTCTCCCGCCCTCATTAGTACTGAAGTAGTTAACATAGCACCTCTCCCTCCATTAGTAGTGAAGTAGTTAACACAGTACCTCTCCTCCATTAGTAGTGAAGTAGTTAACACAGTACCTCTCCCTCTCCATTAGTAGTAATGAGTTAACACGTACCTCTCCCGCCCTCCTTAGTACTGAAGTAGTTAACATAGCACCTCCCTGCCCCCATTAGTGAGTAGTAGTTAACACAGTACCCCGCCCCCCATTAGTGAAATAGTTAACACAGTACCTCTCCCCTCCCTCCATTAGTAGTGAAGTAGTTAACACAGTACCTCTCGCCTCCATTAGTACTGAAGTAGTTAACACAGCACCTCTCCTGCCCCCATTAGTAGTAAGTAGTTAACACAGTCCCCCTCCCCCATTAGTAGTGAAATAGGTAACACAGTACCTCTCCCCCATTAGTAGTGAAGTAGTTAACACAGTACCTTCACCTGCCCCCCATTAGTAGTGAAGTAGTTAACACAGTACCTCTCTCCCCAGAACGGACTGGTATCATACACGATGCCTGACGGTGACCCCAGGGCGGCGACTACAACCTTCGTGACCTGACCTACGACGGGTCACGCAAGGGTGGCTGGCTCTCAGGTGGCCTGGGTCAACTGACTGATGGTGAAACAGGTCACACCAACTTCCGGGTCGACGCCCTCGGCCGTGGCAGAGGTGAGTACGTGAGTGTACGTGGTGGTGGCAGAGGTGAGTACGTGAGTGTACGTGGTGGTGCCAGAGATGAGTACGTGAGTGTACGTGGTGGTGGCAGAGATTTGATTTTGATTTTGCCTCTTACAAGCTACTTTATTGTGCACCCCACACTCATCCTGTGAGCGGTAGCGCAAAAGGATTACAGAGTAGAGTTTACAACGGGTCATAATAATTAACCCCCGTTGTCAGGATATTATGGCACTGAATATTCTAGATATTTCATTTACATTATTAGTTTAGTTCTATACATAAGGTAACTTATTCAAATGCGTGAGTACAGGCGTGTGAGGCAGTATGTCTGGCCTCACACTTTGTTGATCACATTTACGTGAGAAGTATTCAAGCACATTGCGTATTTGGTTCTGTACATGAGAACTGATATAGTTACTAAGTGCAAAAAAATGGATACAATCTTAATATGTCGGCTATCTTGCCATTAGAGATGAAGTGTTGTGCCATTTCACACAGTGTGCTTGGACCTGTCACTAAAGGTTCTATCTTCACACAGTTGAGGATGTAGTGTTCAAGTGTGTGGCCATATGTATGCACACTTTACATAGTTTGTTTACATCTGGAGGAACATACTGCCAGAGTACTTATATCCTAATAATCTGGCGGTTACAACATCTTGTAATCTAGTGATCTTGTTACTTGCTCCATATACATGTTACTTGATACATCTCATCATGGTAACCTATGGATAGACTAGTGCCTGTTTGCACTTGTCTACTTGCGTCAAACTCATCAATAATTTCTATCCTAATTACAGTTTTAAGGGTTCTTTTGACAGACCCAAATTGTATTCAACAGTGTCTTTGTTAGACGCGAGTTTGGCGAGCATCAATTCTGTCATGTTTATAGAGGCCTATGTGAGAGGATCCACAACAGTTTGACCTTGACACCCCGGTCAACAAGGCACACATATTTGTGTCTGGCTTCAGAGACAAGAGCGTGACAACCTGAGTCGAGGTGCCAAGGGCAAGTAGTGAAGATAGAAAGTCAGTGATGATGAGTGTCAGTAACAGTGGTTTCAATGAATTTAATAGCTGTGGTATGACAACTAATTCAGTTTGAAGTGGATGCCCAGTTGTTAATCCTAACTCCTTTCTCAATTATATTACCGTCAGGTTAAGTCCGCAACAATAGCACTTCCAGCCCTCCCACAGGCGGTGTTAAGAGATCCATCAGTGTAGATGGTCTGTGTGATATTATCATCAGTCTGTAGAGTGTGTATGTGTTCAAGAGCTCTCAATTTGGCAGTGTGTTGGAGATAAATGCTTTGTATTAAATAATTTTTTAGGCGGATACGTCGGTATAAATCAAAGGTTAGAGATACAATAGGTCCCCTTAAAACTACGACAGGAGAAATGACTGATGATGAGTTAGAAATGTGATACGTTAAATAGTCATTTTCGCTCCGTATTCACAAATGAAAACCTAGCACAGTTTCCAGAAGTTCATAAGGTATATAACGACAGTATAGAAAATATGTTGATGAATATCAATATTACTAGTAACGATTTGCTTAAAGTAATTAACAAACTGAAGCCTCATAAATCGCCTGGTCCAGACAGGTATATGCTAGAATATTAAAAGAATGTAGAGATGAGTTGAGTAATCCATAAGCAGTTTTATTTAATAAGTCATTAAATCGGGCTAGTGCCAAAGCTTGGAAACTTGCAAATGTAGTTCCGATTTTCAAAAAGGGTGATAAATCAATAACATCAAATTACCGTCATTAGTCTCACGTCAATCATAGGCAAGTTGCTAGAGTCAATTATTGCTACAAAATCAGAAGCCACCTTGAAACATTCAACTTAATTCATTCTTCTCAGCACGGGTTCACCCAGGGCGTTCTTGTCTCCCAAATTTAGCCTTTTCTCAGAAGTATTTGAAGCGGTAGATAATGATAAGTCATATGATATAATTTATTTGATTTCAGTAAAGCATTCGATAGAGTCCCTCATGAGAGATTGATAAGGAAGGTGAAAGCACATGGAATAGGTGGATCAGTATTAAAATGGATTAGGTTATGGTTAACTGGTAGGAAACAAAGAGTCAGCATAAATGGATTAAAGTCAGACTGGGGTGCGGTCAACGGAGATTCCCAGGGATCTGTATTAGGCCCTCTGCTGTTTGTTATATTCATTAATGATCTTGATTTAGGCATAACTAGTAGGATTAGTAAATTTGCAGATGATACCAAAATGGGGAAGTGATAAATTCAGACAGTGACTTTGAACACCTTCAAAGAGAGATAGATACCTTACATGAGTGGTCAGTAGACTGGAAATGAATTTTAATACTGATAAATGCAAGGTACTACAGATAGGGAAGACGAATACAAACGTTAAGTATAAACTGGTAACACGGAAATAGAAAACTCAGTTTGTGAAAAGATCTAGGTGTATTTGTTAGCAACGACTTGAAACCTAGAAAACAATGTATTAGCGTTCGCAACAAGGCAAACAGGATTCTTGGGTTCATATCTAGGTCTGTGAGTAACAGAACTGCTGACGTTATCGAAACTTTACCTAGCATTAGTGAGGCCACACATGGATTATGCGGTTCAGTTCTGGTGTCCTTATTATAGAATGGACATAGATTCTTTGGAGAAAGTACAGAAGAATGACAAAATGATCCATAATATTAGAAACCTTCATACCAGAAGAAAGACTGAAAAGCAGGCTTACATTCATTAGAGAGGCGTAGAGTTAGGGGAGATATGATAGAAGGTGTACAAGTGGGTAAGTGGGATTAACAAGGGTAAATGGAAGATGTTCTGAAGCTCAGTAATAACAGAAATAACTAGAACAAATGGCTTTAAATTAGATAAATTCCGATTCAGAAAGGATATAGGCAAGCACTGGTTTGGTAATAGAGTTGTGGATATGTGGAATAGGCTACAGGTGCTATAGTAGGATCGGGGACGCTAGGGAGCTTCAAGACGAAGTTGGATAGGCACATGGAAGTGCTGGGATGGGTGTGAAAGGGATCTGCCCTGTATGGGCCAGTCGGCCCCCTGCAGTATCCCACTTTCTTATGTTCTTATGTTCTTAACTGTCCGCCAGGGTGGCAGGAAGCGCTGTTGTGTCTCAACTTTGTACAGGTGGTCTAGTCCAAACATCTTCATATGTGTAGCTGTAGTTTGGATCCATTTAGACTCAGTAGTCCCATGATTCATACATTCTAGCAATTTATAGGAAACAATGTTATCAGGATCACCACGCAGAAGCCTCAGGGCTATCATGAGGTTGACTTCAATTATTCTATCTTTAACACTGGGTATACCTAGTTCTTTCCTCATAATAAAGTACGTTAGTGCTCATGGCAGAGGTGAGTACGTGACGGGTGGTGGCGAATGGGTGTGTACGTGGTGGTGGCAGAGGTGGTACGTGAGTGTACGTGGTGGTGGCAGAGGTGAGTACGTGGGTGTACGTGGTGGTGGCAGAGGTGAGTACAGTACGTGAGTGTACGTGGTTGTGTGAGAGGGTAGTGCATGAGTGTGACGTGGTGGTGGCAGAGGTGAAGTGCGTGGTGTACGTGGTGGTGGTGGGGTGAGTACCTGGGTGTCGTGGTGGTGGCAGCGGTGAGTACGTGGTGTACGTGGTGGTGGCAGTGGGTAGTACGTGGTGTACGTGGTGGTGGTATAGGTGGTGCGTGAGTGTACGTGGTGGTGGCAGCGGTGAGTGCGTGAGTGTACGTTGTGGTGGCAGAGGTGAGTACAGTACGTGAGGTGTACGTGGCCGTGGCAGAGGTGGAGTACAGTGCGTGTGTGCGTGGCCGTGGGAGGTGGTACAGTGCGATGTGTACGTGGCGTGGCAGAGGTGGTACAGTGCGTGAGTGCACGTGGTGGTGACGGGGTGAGTACAGTGCGTGGGTGTGTACGTGGTGGTGGCAGAGGTGAGTGCGTGGTGTGCGTGGTGGTGGTATAGGTTGGTACAGTGCGTGAGTGTACGTGGTGGTGGTGGAGGTGGTGCATTGCAGTGAGTGTACGTGGTGGTGGTATAGATTGGTGCAAGTACGTGGTGTGCGTGGTGGTGGTGGGGTGGAGTGCAATTACGTGGTGTACGTGGTGGTGGCAGAGGTGCGTGCGTGGTGTACGTGGGTGGTGGTATAGGTGGAGTACAGTACGTGTGTGGTGTGTGCGTGGTGGTGGCTGGGGGTGGTGCAGTGCAGTGAGTGTGCGTGGTGGTGGCAGAGGTGGTGCAGTGGTGTGCGTGGTGGTGGTATAGGTGGTGCAAGTGCATTAGGTGAGCGTGGTGTGGTGGTATAGGTGGGAGTGCAGTACGTGTGGTGTGCGTGGTGGTGGTAGAGGTGGAGTGCAGTGCGTGGTGTGCGTGGTGGTGGCAGAGGTGAGTACGTGAGGTGTGCGTGGTGGTGGTATGGGTGGTGGGTACGTGAGTGTGCGTGGTGGTGTGGAGTACAGTGCGTGTGGTGGTGTGCGTGGTGGTGTGAGGTGAGTGCGTGGTGTGCGTGGGGTGGTATGGGTGGTCAGTGCATTGAGGTGTGCGTGGTGGTGAGAGGTGGTGCAGTGGTGTGCGTGGTGGTGGCAGAGGTAGTACGTGGAGTGTGCGTGGTGGTGTAGAGGTGGTGCAGTGCGTGAGTGTGTGTGGTGGTGGAGAGGTGGTGTGAGTGTACGTGGTGGTGTGGCAGAGGTGAGTGCGTGGTGTGCGTGGTGGTGGTGGGGTGGTGCCTGGTGTACGTGGGGTGGTGTGGTGGTGCGTGGTGTGCGTGGTGGTGGCGTGGTGAGTACGTGGTGTACGTGGTGGTGGTCCAGGGTGAGTGCAGTGTGCGTGGTGGTGGCAGCTTGAGGTGTGAGTGTACGTTGTGGTGGCAGAGTGGAGTACAGTGCGTGAGTGTGCGTGGCCGTGCAGAGGTGGAGTGCAGTGCAGTGGTGTGCGTGGCCGTGGCAGAGGTGAGTGCAGTGCGTGTGTGTGTACGTGGCGGTGGCAGAGATG